TTTTTGATTTATTGTAGAGATGAGGTCTCGCTGCCCAGGCGGGTCTCGAACCCACAGACTCAGGCCATCCACTCACCTCAGCCTCCCAAAGGTGCGGGATGACAGGCTGAGCCACCGAGCCTGGCTTAATTTTAATTTTACTGTAGAGACGAGGTCTCGCCAAGTTGTCCAGGCTGGTCTCGAACCCCTGGACTCAGGCAATCCTCCCTCTTCCGCCTCCCAAAGTGCTGGGATGGCAGGCATGAGCCCCGCGCCCGGCTACCCATGACGCTGTGCTGAGCCCATTTTCCATGATAGTGAAACTGAGTGCCCGCGTGGTAAAGCAACCCGGGAAAGCCCCGGAGCTGGTCTTCGGCGTCTCCCTCCCTCTGTGCCTGGTTCCCCGTAGATGCTCATAAAAGCGCCCGGGTCACGGGTCCCCCGGCTCGGGGTGCCCCTCCCGTACCCGGCACAGGCCTTATCGCCACTTGCCCCGGAGATCAGTAATGATTTACGCCCCAGACTGTGCTCCCTGGCGGGCCCTGGCTGAGGGATGTGGCCGCCCGGTGTTCTTTGTCCCTTGAGCCTGCCATGAGCTCTTCTGGGTCCCCCTGGAGAGCCGACGCCCGCTCAGAGACATGAAGCCACTTCCCCAAGGTCACACAGCTCCGCCCACCTGGCCTGGCGCCAAGGGCTCCCCGCCCGAAGGTTGGGCTCCGAGCAGCGTGCCAGGCCCCTGAAGCAGGGATGGGGCCGAACCAGACCTCGCCCCTGCCCCTTGGGGCCGATAAGGCCCGGCCGTCTCCAGATCTGGCCCGTGATCCCAGGCGATAACAACCAGAGACGTGTCCCCTGACAAGTCCCCCACCTTTCTTAACCTTGTGGGACAGCCAGAGCTGGGCCCTGTTGGATTGGGGTTCCCATCTTCCAGCAGAGGGGAAACTGAGGCACGGGTGAGGGCGGTCCCCTTCGATCCAGGCCCTGGGGCCCCCAGGCACTGGCAAAAGTTCTAAGCACTTTGGCCTCAATCACGGGAGCCTTCCTGGAGGAGGTGGGTACGGGCTGGGCGCTCAGCCCTCCCCACCATCTGACACCCTCCCGCTCTGGGTCCCCACCTGCTCTGATCAGAAATGTGGAACCCAGGGGGAGGCCTCTACGCTGAGGGGCGGACGGAGCCGGCGGACCCGTCGCCACGTTGCCAGCTCACAGTGAAGGACTTGCTTCTTTCTGGTGGTGGCGGGGACCTGGTGAGCATCGAGGCATCGGGGTGGGGGGTGGGGTGGGGGTGTGGCTCACAGAGCCCCGGGGCCCCCATTTCACAGACCGGAAAAGCAAGTCATGGAGGGGACTGGCCAAGGCGACAGGCCATCTCCGGCCTGGGCTCACATTTCCTGGGCTGCTCCCCGTGGAGAAAAGAATTTCTAAAAAGCTAAAACCTAGTATGCACCAACTGTATGCCAGGCCTTGTTCTTTTTTTCATTTTTGTGTCAGGGTCGCGCTCTGTCGCCCAGACTGGAGGGCAGTGGCCGCTCCCGGCCACCGCAGCCTCGATCTGCTGGCTCCGGCGATCCTTCTGCCTCAGCCTTGTCCTAAATGCTCTAAATGCATCTCTTTTTTTTTTTTGATTTATTGGAGAGATGAGGTCTCACCAAGTTGCCCAGGCGGGTCTCGAACCCGCAGGCTCAGGCAATCCACTCACCTCAGCCTCCCAAAGCGCGGAATGACAGGCTGAGCCCCTAAGCCCGGCGCATCTCATTTTTTGAGACAGGGTCTGGCTCTGTGGCCCAGGCTGGAGTGCAGTGGCATGATCATGGCTCATTCGGCCTCCAACTCCTGGGCTCTAGAGATCCTGCCTCAGCCTCCCAAGTAGCTGGAATCACAGGCATACACCACCCAGCTAATTAAAAAATAATTATACCGTAATCCCGTGCCTTTGGGAGGCTGAGGTGAGTGGATTGCCTGAGCCCGCGGGTTCGAGACCCGCCTGGGCAGTGAGACCTTATCTCCACAATAAATCAAAAAATCAGCGGGCGTGGTAGCGCGTGCCTGTAATTCCGGCTACTTGGAAGGCTGAGGCGGAAGGATCGCTGGAGCCCAGCAGGTCGAGGCTGCGGTGGCCGGGAGCGGCCACTACCCTCCAGTCTGGGCGACAGAGTGAGACTCCAACTAAAGAAAAAATTATTTTGTGGAGATAAGGTCTCACTTTGTTGCCCAGGAGGGTCTTGAACTCCTGGCCTCAAGCGATCTTCCCGCCTCAGCCTCCCCGGTAGCTGAAATTTTACAGGCGTGAGCCACCACGGGGTCCTGGGAATTCTGTTGCTAATGGGGCAGGGAGTCTGGCGGTGGGTCTCCCGGCCCCCAACCTGGCTCCCTGGACTTTCCACAGCACCAGCCTCACCCGGTGGCTCCTCACCTCCTGTGCCCCGGGACTGGGCACGGCCAGGAGCTGGTGCTGACCGAGGATGAGAAGAAGCTTCTGGCCAAGGAGGGGATCACGTTGCCCACTCAGCTGCCCCTCACCAAGGTGCGTCGGGACCCCGACCCGGGCCTCTCTCCCTTCACTGAAGCCACCTGGCCACCCGCCCTGGAGTGCCGGGGCATGTCTGTCACCAGAGCCCGAAAGACCAGCCGGGAGCCCCATCCTAAATTCAACTCAGCCGGGCGTGGTGACTCACGCCTGTCATCCCAGCACTTTGGGAGGTGGAGGCGGGAGGATTGTCTGAGCCCAAGAGTTCAAGACCAGCCTGGACAACTGGGAAAGACCTCGTCTCTACAAAAAATTGAAACATGAGCCGGGTGTGGTGGCGCAAGCCCGTAGTCCCAGCTACTCAGGAGGCTGAGGTGGGAGGATCGCCTGAGCTCAGGAGGTGGAAGCTGCGGCGAGCTGCGATCGTGCCAGTGCACTCCAGCCTGGAGCAGAGAGACCTGGACTCAAAAAAGGAAATACAGCCGGGCTCGGCGGCTCAGCCTGTAATCCCAGCACTTTGGGAGGCTGAGGTGAGTGGATGGCCTGAGCCCGCGGGTTCGAGACCCGTGTGGTAGTGCGTGCCTGGAATTCCGGCCACTCGGAAGGCTGAAGTGGAAGGATCGCCGGGAGGGGCCACTGCACTCCAGTCTGGGCGACAGAGCGAGACTCCAACTCAAAAAAAAAAAAAAAAATTTCTTTAAAGATAGGGTCTTACTGTGTTGTCCAGGTTGCAGTGCAGGGGCGCGATCATAACTCAGCGCAGACTCCCAGTTCCTGGGTTCGAGCGATCCGCCTGCCTCGGCCTCCCAAAGTGCTGGAATGACAGGCATGAGCCGCCGCGCCTGGCCTGGCAGACATTTTTTTTAAATTCCGGAGACACGTTTTGATTGGCCTTGGCTGCACTTTCCACGTGTCCGAAGTTGGAGGCCAAGGTCTTTCTGACCAGATTTCTCACAATCCAGCAACCTGTTCCCCTTCTCGCCCCTCCGCGTGCAACAGTCCGGGGCTGAAGAGCTGCCTGGGCTCTCGAGCTCACCAGAGTCTCCGCCCGGCCCGTGTCACTCGGGTCACACCGCCTGACGTCCCCCACCCGCGTGCAGTCACCATCCGTCCTTGGCCGGTTCCAGGGAACTGTGCTGATCCCAGACATGGCCACCAGGGGGCACAGGGATGCCAATGTCCCTGTCGGGTTAGAGGTTGCCAAGTTGGCTTTTTTTTTTTTGAGCTGGAGTCTCACTCTGTCGCCAGACTGGAGGGCAGTGGCCGCTCTCGGCCACCGCAGCCTCGACCCGCCGGGCTCCGGCGATCCTTCCGCCTCCGCCCTCCGAGGAGCCGGAACTACAGGCGCGCACCACCAAGCCCGGCTAATTTTTGATTTGTTGTAGAGACGAGGTCTGGCCAAGTGGCCCTGGCTGGTCTCGAACCCGCGGGCTCAGGCAGTCTTCTCATTGCGGCCTCCCAACGTGCTGGGATGACAAGCATGAGCCACTGTGCCCAGCCTGCTTTTTTATTTTTTATTTTTTTTTGAGTCGGAGTCTCACTCTTTCTCCCAGGCTGGAGTGTGCAGGGGCACACGCCAGCGTCGATCTGCTGGGTCTGGCGATCTTTCCGCCTCAGCCTCCCAAGTAGCCGGAACTACAGGCGCGTGCCACCATGCCCGGCTAATTTTTTGATTTATTGTAGAGACGAGGACTGGCCAAGTTGCCTAGGCTGGTCTCGAACCCGCCAGTTCAGGCCATCCCCTCACCTCGGCCTCCCAAGGTGCTGGGATGGCAGACTGAGCCACCGAGCCCGGCCAATGTATTAATTGTATTTATTTTTTAAGTGAGAAAGCAGGATTTATTGAGAGGACAGAAAAGCTCCCTAATTTTTTTGGGGAACAAGTCAGAGTTAATTAGTAGATAGGAAAGCTGTCCGCAGTGAGAGGGACCCCGAAAGTGAGTTGCCCCAATTTTTAAAATTTTAATTCAGAGTCTCGCTCTGTCACCCAGGCTGGAGGGCAGGAGCACGCTCCCGGCCACCGCAGCCTCGACCCGCTGGGCTCCGGCGATCCTTCCGCCTCAGCCTCCCAGTCGCTGGGACTACAGGCATGCGCCACCACGCCTGGCTAATTTTTTAATTTATCGTAGAGACGAGGTCTCGCCAAGTTGTCCGGGCGGGTCTCGAACCCGTGGGCTCAGGCAGTCCTCTCGCCTTGGCCTCCCAAAGTGCTGGGATGACAGGCTGAGCCCCCGTGCCCAGCCAGGTCACCAATTTGGTGAAACGGGGAGCTGGAAGACCTTCAGACCCCCGAGCCTCCCAGACCCTGCAAGCACTTAGGGAGAGACCAGTTGGGCTCCCAGTCACAAGGAGTCTGTCGCCAGAGCCCCAGGCCGGGGGTGGCTCACAGCGGGGTGAACGGACAGAGGTTGTGGGGTCCCTCCAGGCTGACTCAGTCCCCTTCCCGTGTCCCTACAGTATGAGGAGCGAGTGCTGAAAAAAATCCGCCGGAAAATCCGCAACAAACAGTCGGCCCAGGAAAGCAGGAAAAAGAAGAAGGAGTATATCGATGGCCTGGAGACTCGGTAATGCCGGGCCCTGGGTGCTCCATTCCGGGGGGAAACTGAGGCCCAGAGAGAGGGCAGTGTGGTTTACGGTCACACCGCCGAAATTAGAGTGGATTTCTTTTTCCAGAACAGACCTTCTGTTTACATTGTTTTGTGTCTGGGTCTCATTCTGTGGCCAAGGCTGGAGTGCAGGGGCACCAGGACGGCCCACTGCAGCCTCGACCTCCTGGGCTCGGGCAGTCCTCTCACCTCAGCCTCCCGAGTAGCTGGGGCTGCAGGCGCATGCCACCACACCCGGCTCATTTGTTGATTTTCTTTTTTTGAATTGGAGTCTCACTCTGATGTCCAGGCTGGACTGCGGTAGCCACCACAGCCTTGACCTGCTGGGCTCAGGCAGTCGGTCCTTCCGCCTCAGCCTTCTTAGTTGCTAGAACTACAGGCGTGTGCCACCACACCCAGATTATCTTTTTGGTTTTGTTTTTGTTTTGCTCATAGCCACCACGGCCTCGACCTGCTGGGCTCAGACAGTCCCTCCACCTCAGCCTTCCAAGTAGCTGGAACCACAGGCGTGTGCCACCACGCCCAGCTAATTTTTTTATTTATGGTAGCGACGAGGTCTTGCCAAGTTTCCCTGGTGGGTTTCAAACCCCTGGACCTCTTGCCTCTGCCTCCCGAAGTGCTGGGATGACAAGTGCAAGCCACCACACCCGGCTCATCGTGGTCTCATGTCATCCTCCCAAGCCCTTTGTGACCTGGGTGACTGCATTCCATTTTACAGACGACAGGACTGAGGTCAGAGAGTGGAGATCCAGGTCACGGGGAGAGGGAGGGTGGTAACTTGGGGCTCTGCGGACTCCACATCGCCTTGATATTTTGTCTTCTGGAAACATCCCTGCCGGGTCTCTGGTATTCCATTCCCGATCCCGGGGCTCAGCCCTGAGTGAAGCCCCTCACATCAATGCAGAGATGGAATCTAGGAACCAGGCAGACGTAGGTTCAGATCCTCAGCCCAGCACGGTGGCTCACGCCTGCCATCCCAGCGCTTTGGGAGGCTGAGGTGGGAGGATCGCTTGAGCCCAGGAGTTGGAGACCAGCCTGAGAAACAGAGCAAGCCCTCCTCTCCACAAAAAAATTTTAAAAATTAGCCAGGTGTGGTGGTGTACGCCTGTGGTTCCAGCTACATGGAAGGCTGAGGCAGAAGGATTGCCCGAGCCCAGCTGGTCGAGGCTGCGGTGGCCGGGAGTGTGTCACTGCACTCCGGCCTGGACAACAGAGTGAGGCTCTGACTCAAAAAACGGTCAGGTGTGGTGGCTTATGTCTATAAACCCAGGACTTTGGGAGGCCCAGGTGGGAGGATTGCTTGAAGCCAGGAGTTTGAGACCAGCCTTGGCAATATAGCAAGAATTTGTCTCGACAAAATATTTTCTAAAAATTAAAAAATTGGGCCGGGCTCGGTGGCTCAGCCTGTAATCCCAACGCTTTGGGAGGCCGAGGTGAGTGGGTTGCCGGAGCCCAAGGGTTCGAGACCCGTCTGGGCAATTTGGCGAGTCCTCATCTCTAAAATAAATCAAAAATCAGCCGGGCGTGGTAGCGCACGCCTGTAGTTCCAGCTACTCGGAAGGCTGAGGCGGAAGGATCGCCGGAGCCCGGCGGGTGGAGGCTGCGGTGGCCGTGAGCATGTCACTGCACTCCAGCCTGGGCAACAGATTGAGACCTCGACTCAAATAATAATAATAATAATAATAATAATAAAAGATTGTTCAAATCCCGACCCATCACAGACTTGCCAGGTGACCCTGGATGAATGAATTCTCCTCTCTGGCCTTGGCTCCCTTGCTCTGGCGCCCTCCCAGGGTGATGTCAGCTGGTGACACGCATACTCTGAATATCACTGTGTCATCATCCTTGCAGGATGTCAGCCTGCACTGCCCAGAATCAGGAGTTGCAGAGGAAAGTCTTGCATCTTGAGAAGCAGAACCTGTGAGTTTGGGTCCCCATGGGGGAGAGGATTAAGGAGCAGGGCCCTGGGGTCTCTTGTGGAGAGGGCAGAGAGCCCGTGTGGTGGCAGGAAGGGGTAGGGAATAAGGGCTTCACCTGCAAAGGAGGCAGGCTGAATAGCGGAAGGGCTTTGGACTTGGGGCCTTGAAGGATGTGTAGGAGTTCACTAGAAAAGTGCCCTCTAGCTTGGAGTGGAAACCCACAGGGTGTGAGAACAGGACAGGCCTTGGGGGGAGCGGGGGCGGGGCTTGGGCTGGTGTCCAAGTGAACCATGATAGAGGCCGGGGCGGGAGGATCCAGTGGAGGTTTGTGGACACAGAGAGGGAGTCAGACTCTCCAGAGCCACAGGGCATTGAAGGATGGATGAGATTCAGACGTCAGCAGGGCCAGGGGACCCCGGAAGCGGGTGGGAAGCAGGACCCAGGCCAGGCGGGGCTCAACCGAGGCCCGCCTGTCCCTCTGAGGTCCCTCCTGGAGCAGCTGAAGAAGCTCCAGGCCATCGTGGTCCAGTCCACCAGCAAGTCTGCCCAGACGGGCACCTGCATCGCGGTGAGTGGGTCCGGGAAAGCCGGGGGTGGGCGGAGTCGGAGCCCGGGCAGAGGGGCCCGTGGGGGGGAGGGAGGGGCCCACGAGAGGCCAAGCCCAGCCTCGTGCCCGGGC